TTGTTAAACCTTTTAATGTAGAAGTATGGGTTTTGAGAAAGAAAAAGTTTGTTGGGATCTTAAAGCAACTGAATGTTTTATCATAGCATGCTTGGAACAAGTGACTAACGGCGAACAGTTGGGTACTAGTTTTACTAAGAAATGATGGGTTGGAATTACAACCAAATTTAAGGAGTTAACAGGAAAGGTTTATGAAAAAACAAAGTTTAAAAATAGGTTTAATAATTTAATAAGGGAGTGGAGGTTATGGTATAAATTATTTGGTAAAGAAACTGGGCTTGGATGGGATAATGTGAAGAATACTGTTAAAGAAATGGTTGCAATTTTTTTAAACATGGTTGGTCATGTGGTAGGAAATAGGATGCTTTAAGAGAGGTTTCAACACTCTGGAGAGACTATTAGTAGACATATCCATAAGGTATTAAATGCTTGCCTTAAGTTATGTGTAGAATATATTAGGCCACAAGATCCTCTATTTCATGATAGTCAAGCCAAAATAGAAAATGATACACGATACTGGCCATTTTTTAAGAATGCAATAGGGGCAATTGATGGAACTCATGTTCCATGTGTGGTTACTCCTAGTGACCAAGCAATATTTATTGGGAGAAAGGGTACTCCAACACAAAATATAATGGCAGTTTGTGATTGGAACATGTGTTCTACTTTTGTACTAGCTGGATGGGAAGGTACTGCGCATGATGCTCGAATCTTCGATCATGCTCTCACAACTGCCAACTTGAATTTTCCACATCCTCCTCAAGGTATTATTTATTTATATCAATACAATTGAATTCCAATTTCAATTAAATTATATTAACATTCTTTTTTACTTTTTTAATAGGTAAATGTTATTTGGTAGATGCTGGTTATCCAACACTAGTGGGATATCTTGGTCCCTATAGATGCGAACGTTATCATCTACCGGATTTTAGACGTCAGAATGAGTTTGAAAATAATAATGTTTTCAATTATTACCACTCAAGTTTAAGGTGTACAATTGAGAGAACCTTTGGGGTATGGAAGAATAGATTTGCAATATTGTGACACATTGTAACAGCCCATTTTTCATGGGCCAAAGGCCCAATTCGCAGCCCGGAACGGGCCGTTTCAAAATTGAAACGGGCCGTTCCGGAATAGTTAGAATGCCCAAAATGTATAAGCAGAACGGGTCGTTCTGGTTTTAGACCGGGCCGTTCTAGTTGAGAAATTTACGTAGGTTTGAAGGGCCAGAACGGGCCGTTCCGCTTTTAGAATGGGCCGTAGTGGTAGGTGAGCCAGAATTCCTATAAATAGGGGGCTTCACTTCTCATTTTTCACACACCTCTCATTCTCATTCTTTCTTCTCTTCTGTTCTCTCTTCTTTCCCTCTCCTTCTTTCTGAAGACCAAGAGGAATCTAGAGGAGAAGGTTCTGCCCTAGTTTTAGTTCTGGTCCCTGTTCAAGGAAAAAGAGGAGGAGGTTCTGCCCTAGTTCCTATTTATCCAGGTACAGGGAAAATGAGAATTATTTATATGTAAATTTTAAACTTCCTAGTTTCTCATGTGAAAGTTTACTCGCAATTACAGTAGTTTTTATTATAAACTACTCAATATAATGATAAGTGAAAGTGCTGGAAATCTTCAATCTAAATGGACAACAGAGGATACTGCATCATGCACGTTTTGTCAATGCAGTTGTAAGGTAAAAATTTCTGACAGAAATATAAATCCGGAAATTTCCGACAGATATGGATCCGTCGGAAATTTTCGTCGGAAATTTACATTTTTCTTGTAGTGTTTTAATCCGCAGGAAAAACAAATTTTTTTTTATAAGTTTAATATTTAAAAAAAACTTCAAGTCCCACATTGATTGAAAATAACACAATTAAAGGGTATATAAGTTAGGACAATACTTACCTTATAAGTTGATTTGTATGGTTGAATGTTAGGCTTATAATCTACCATCTTAGAATTTAAAAGATTATGTATCACATGTTAGAAGTATGGAACAAATGTTTAGGATGAATTCATTGTGAACATTTGAAAGTTGAAGAATTATTAATAGAATTTATAATAATTTCTTTAATTTTTTCGTAAAAAATATTCTTGCAGAATTTCTTCCGAAAAAATTCGCAGGAAACTTTCCTGCAAAATTTTTTTTGCAGGAAACTTTTCGGCGAATTTTTTTCGCAGGAAAATTTTCTGCGAATTTTAAAATTTGCAAAAATATATTATCTACAAAAGTATTACTTGAGATAAAATTTCGCAGAAAAATTTGTAGGAACAACGCTTCCTGCGAATTTTTTATGAAAAATTCACAAGAAAAGTTGTATGTAATAAGAAAATTTCTAATAGTGATTTTATCAATCATATTTAATTCAATTAATTAGTTATAAGTTTTTAATTTTTTAACTTTTATGGAAGAGATTGATCGATGTGTTGCCTTTTGTTCCTAATTATCTCATCTCTCTTTCATACATTTCACCAATAATTCCCCCATGTGCTCCTCTTTTTTGTCTTCGACTTTTCCTTTAATCACTTTACATCCCTATTGTTTATATTTTCACACTTTTATTCACAACTACACACTAAAAAGTGAACGTTAAAAGGTATCTCAAAGGTTAGGTCGAGGTTTGGTCCAAGCAATAAGCCTCCATATCCCTACTGAGATTTGATTGGTGCAAAATTTTCGGGCTTGTTGAAGTGAACATAGTTGGTAGGTTTTAGTTTGTTGAAATATAGGATCTTACAATAAGTCAATGTCTTTTCTAACCAAAAACTATTTCATATATAAAGATGATTATAGGGGTAAATCATCAGAAAAGCTTTGGGTACCTTTTTTAAATCACGTTGTATATGGTATACATAATTAGAGGGAATCAATTAATGATTTGGAACTTACCATTTAGTTGTAGAGACAAAAAATATATTAATTAAACAACTGAATTAGTTTATTGTTTGATGTGGCTTATTGATTAGACCTAGTTGCTTAGTAGAAGACTAGTTGTAACTACAGACATCAGAGTGGTTGTTTGGTGAGATTACTTCAGATATGTCTCTAGACTTGGTTGTCTTGAAAGCCAATTGGGTTAAGGTTCACGGGTTTTCACTAGAGTTATGAGCCTTCTAGTATCATACATAGCAGATATATTTTTAATAAATATAATCTCTTGTCGATATTAGTAGTTTGAAATATTTAGTTCATGTGGTTAAACTAATTATCAATTTTTACAAAGCTAGCTAAAGCGATTTGTTGTAGGTATATATCACATCAATTTCAAATTTAAAATGTGTGTTCTTCTAATTAAAAGGTATTACTCTTAAATCTAAAGCAAGAAATGACAGGAATATAAGTCAAGTTATTTGAAACCATATATTACACCTCAAAGTAATTACTGAAGGCATAAAAAGAGATTAAGGGGCAAAAACTGAACCGGTTTTTGAAAGTCCAAATTGGACAGAACCATTTTCATGCAAGGTGTGTGACTATTCATCTGACCTCTATGAAAAAGACATATATCTTTTAATAAAACCGAAAAAGATAGTAGAAAATGGGAAAAAAAAAAAAAAAAAAAGGCCTCTTAAGCGCCTCATATCTTTCAAAAGTTGCTTAACATGCTAAAAGGCATGCAACATACGTAGTTTTGTGATCGTAAAAGTAATATTTTGTATCTTAAAATTAAACAATTTATTGCAGAAAAAAATAGTTTCTTGCATTAAAGGAGGTTATTTGTAGGAGTAGAAAAAGTAGGAGTAGTTATATGCAATTTCATCAAACTTTAGGAAGTGCAAGTATAATTTACACCTACATGTATTATACATCAGAAAGATATGCACATATGTATAACCGTATAAATAGTTATATTAAATTCCCAAGATAATCTCTCATTGTTTAATTTGATTTCATTTTATTAGGCGTAAAGTATCAATGATCAATATTCGATATGTACAGTATTAGCTTGGCTACACACCATTTTATTGGTTGTTCAAAAACTATTGAAGCTGTTTTCTTCGTGATGATTGAGACAAATCAGATATGAAAAGAATATGAGCAAAACTCACCTCTTTTATTCAATGGAAGGACATGATCTGTTGGATTAAGATTTAAAGTTTGGCTTGGCTCCACAGCTCATACATATTGATAAAGGGAAATGACATTTTTCCGTCATCTCTTTAGAAAAATAGTTAATTTATTTTTGTAACGACCCAATTAACTTTAGAACAAATTATTTTAATAAATAACTCTTTTTTTACACTCTAAATTTATTTTGATAAATATTATACATATCCTTTACTAGATGTAAAATTGCTTGAGTCAGATAAAATCGATTAATATTAATGGTAAAATCCTTTTTGAATATATCGTATACTCAAAGAAGGTTAATTATAAATAATTATGATTTTTTTTGTAAACATCCAATATATTCAGAAATCATATTCAACTTCAATTTGATCGAGTCAAATAAATTTACTTAAGGCAACAAAACTTTTTTTTTCATTCATAAAACTTAATTAGTCTCTAATTCTTATTTAAAGTTTACTTCCTAAAGCAAGAGAGATTAGTATATGATAAACATGCATGTGAGATTAAAAGGGTGGTCCCCATTGATAAGTGTCGATCCAAGTGAGATTAAACCCCACCACACTTAACTTTGTCCCTCGTGAATTAAATCAATGGTTTCACACCACTATTATGTATCAACCCCCTCAAGAGTGCGGAATCTGTAGCAAAATTCCACTAATTCACACACATCTCATAATTCAAACTATCTTTTGTCAACCTCATATTTATAATAGCACAACCCATGATCATGATGGCAATAATATAAATAGCAAAACCACCACCCTAAAGGAGAAACTAATCACAAATTCATAACCAATAGAAAAAGGAAAAAAAAAAAAAAGAAAAAAAAAAAAAAGAAAAAAAAAACAAAACCCCCCCCCCAAAAGAAGAAACAAATAACAAATCCAAAACCAAAAAAAAAAGGAAAAAAAAAACCAAAATTTAAAACCAAAAAAAAAAGGAAAAAAAAAAAAAAAAAAAAAAAAAAAAAAAAAAGCAAGCAAAGTGAAGGAAGAGATGGGAAACGCTATGGGGAGTAAAAAAGCAAAGGTGATGAAGATAGACGGTGAAACGTTCAAGCTGAAGACTCCCGCTAGAGCGAACGACGTCGTTAAGGACTACCCGGGCCACGTTCTGCTGGACTCTCACGCGGTGAAACATTTCGGGCCTCGGGCCAAGCCGCTGGAGCCGCACCACGAGCTGAGGCCCAAGAAGATTTACTTTTTGGTGGAGCTGCCCAAGGTTCAGCCCGAACCGCTAGCGAGGAGGGTGCGGTCCAGTGGAATCCGCGGCATGAACGCCAAGGATAGGCTCGATTTCTTGATGCTATCCAAACGCTCCGTTTCGGACCTCACCATGGTCAAACACGGGCCGGGCCCGGACGACAACGGCGCTGGCCCCACCAGAGTCAGAATGAGGCTGCCCAAGGCCCAGCTCGAGAGGCTCATGGAGGAGAGCCACGACGGGAGCGAGGTGGCGGAGAAGATCATAAGTTTGTACATGGGGAACAATGCCACCGCCGTGGACGGCGGCGCCACGGCGGATGCCGGAAAGGAGGTTCAAAATCACAAACCGCGAAGGGTATGTTTGTTTAACTTAATGGTTTTAATAGTATTTTTTTTACTATAAACTTAAATTTAATAATAAAATCATAATTTTTAGAAAAATTCATAACGACTATTTCTATTATAATTTATAATATAATAAATTTGAATCAGTAACAAAAGGCACCATTAGAAAGAAATTAACTAGTAGTATTAAGTTTGTTTTGCTTTGTGTTCTGGAATGTTTGACATTTTGTTTGAATATTGGTGATCTTCTTCGGCTGTTGTGCTTCATAAAGCAATTTGCTTGCTAGTTGATACCGACGTGCCTAAAAGCTTTCTTGGGTACACATTACACGACCCTATCTTTTTAATGGGAAAAGATGTAAAACACAAGAAAACTGCAATGTCACATTCTGTTTAAAATTTAAAACTTGTTTAATATGAAATATCATGACTTTATAACTTATTTAAAACAAGATAAAAATTGTGTTTGACTTCATTTTTATAATTTTAAACTTATAAAATTGAAATTAAAATTAAATTGTTTTTATGATTCTTTTAACTTAAAAGTTATGTTTAACCTAAAATTATTGAATAATAGTATATTCTCGAGTCTTGGGATTTAAAATAAAGGAGAAGAAATAAATATTCTTAAAATCAAGTTATTTAAAAGTTATTTCAATACCTTTTTTTCTATTAAAAGTTTTTATTTTTTATACAAATTTTGTATGATTATATTTGTCACAAAAAAATCATTTGTCACAAAGATAGAAAAGTATAAATTAAATTGGATTGTTATTGCCCAAAAATAATTATTAAATTTATTTATATAAAATCATAAATAAGTTTTATAAAGTGAAATAAATTCTGTAAAATCTCTTCAAAACGTCTCCTTCATACGTTTATTATTATTTGACAGTGTTATTAAAATAATATAAAATTTTAATACTCAAGGCTTGTTTTGCGTTGTTGAGCTTGAGCTCAAGATCAAATTCTAAAAAATTAAAAAGAATTATAAGTAAAACCCATTTAACAAATTTGAGACGGTTAAAAACTACACGACATAATATGTATACTATCAGAAAACATTTATTGTGTCATTGACACATTTATTCTAATCAAATTCATTAAAAATTTTATTAAATGATGTGATATTTTTTAGACTGACTCGATTTATTGTATTTTAATAAGCACGAGTTTTGTACTTGAATCTTAGATCCGATATTGCCGTTTTTCTAGTTGATCACCTGAAAGATGATCTCAAATTGACAATAACAAAAAAAAAAATCAAATTTTAATGTCAATTTGTTTACATTTTATAATCCTGGAATCAAAGACCAGCAACTCAAAAATTTGAATAGAGAGAGACATTTGGGACAAATTATACTTAATCATATGGGTAGCGATCAACCTTAGTTTGCTGATGCTTATGATAGTGTTTGGGGAAATAAATTTATATTGCAACTTTTAACTGTTCGGTTTAGTAGTATTTGGGATAGTGTCTTGACTTGGTTGTTTCACGTTGTTTCTGAGGTTTAATGTTAAATAAACTTCTCTTAGTGTTTGGGGTAGTGTATTGACTTGGTTGTTTCACGTTGTTTCTTAGGTTTCATGTTAAATAAACTCTTAAAACATTTATAGAAGTAAGAAATAGGAATGAAAAATGAAATAAATTTTGCTATAAATTAAAATTAATATAAGTCAAAAATAAATTTTAAAGAAATTAATATACTTTTTTTTTTTTTTTTTTTTTTTTAAAATTTTTTTTTGTAAAAACAAATTTTTATTTTTAA